AAAAATAGAAAGAAATTAATCGGACAACTAAAAATATATAGAAAAAATTAGCGGGGCATGGTGGCGCATGCCTGTAGTCCCAGCTACTCGGGAGGCTGAGACAGGAGGATCGCTTGAGCCCGGGAGTTTGAGGTTGCTGTGAGCTAGGCTGATGCCACGGCACTCACGCTAGCCCGGGCAAAAGAGTGAGACTCTGTCTCAAAAAACAAACAACAACAACAACAACAAAAAATTGAGGGCGAGGGTGTGCAGGGATCCGTTAAAGCAGCCGTTTATGCTGGAAAGATGCACGTGCGCGGCGGACTCCGCGGAGGTGGTGGTGTCTTTCCTTTGGGGGCTTGGAAGAAGGAAAAATAAGGAAAAGACTGTAAGAAACTTCTAGAGAACTAATAGAAAGTGGAGTTACGAGCATCGCTCCGAGGTGCGGTGACCGGAGCGGAGCCGGGCTCCGTGGCAAAGCCGGGACGGGAGACGCAGGCCGAGAAGGGACTTGCGGTGAGGGAGCCCCGCGAGCCGTTCGCTGTCTGCCGACCGCGAGGGGGCGACAGGTGCGAGCAGGCGTCGTGGAGGGATAAAGGGTTCAGTGCCGTCGAGGGGGGAGAGGATGGAAAACACCCTTTCCTCAGTCTGGATGATGAGGAATATTTTTATTAAGCAGGGGAAAGGGAAGCCAGGCTGAGCGGCCACGTCGGCACAGAGGGGAAGGGATGGGCGCGCTGTGTTCACGGCACTCGCCTGGGGCCTGCACTGGGGGCCGCGTGCCCGGGACGAGCAGGAGCTGGGGCCCGAGCTGGAGGGCTGTGGACATAGACACTGGGAGTCTGGACTCCACCGGCCTTGGGAGACTCCTGCACGTTTTGAAGGAAGGGGAAATGGTGCGGCCCCGTGTTCTGAGAGTACAACTTTGGGGACAGTGAGACAAGTTGCAGGAGTGAGAGTGGAGACAGGAGATTAGTAATCCGCCACCATAGTCCAGAAGAGAGATAAGGAGCATCACCGCGCAGCCACAGCCACAGAGGGGCCACACGCCACTGAGGCAGAGAGGACAGGCATCAGGATGAGTCAGGAGCGTGATGTCCTGAGTCCTGAGCTAGGCTGCAGAGGGAGGAGCCAGTTAGGTGTGAGGGACGAGGAGGAGGAAGGGAGGAAGAGCTACTCTCACTGTTACCCGTGCCAGACAGGTCAGCACAGGTGGAAATTTGGGTCTCTGGAAGCCAAGGGTTGGGAGGCTCCCTCACTAGACAGTCACTGAAGCCCTAAGATTTGACAGGGTGGCCCACAGAGATGTGCAAAGGAAAGAAGAACCGCTGGGGATCCCAGCACGCGAGGGACCGGCAAGGGGAGGACAGCCAGAGACGGTACAGCCAAGCAGGCAGGCAGCGGACCGTTGTGCTGGCAAAGGAAGGAACGTCGGGACCAGGGAGTGGAGAGACAGCCTCAGATGCTGCCGAGATCAGAAAAGATTCAAACAGAAAAGTAGATTTTAGATTCAGCAACTGAGAGAAAAGGTCAAAATTACAGACAGAGGGGGAATAAGAAGGAGTAGAGTAGGTATGGACTTCTGTCTTTTCTGAACTTTGTAAAAAAAAAAAAAAAAAAGTGGTAATTTAGGTAGGGAGAGGCGAGATCAAAGCAGGACTTCTTGTGCAGGTGAGGAATACTGAGTCCATAGTAGGCTGCGGGGCAGGACGGGGGTGGGGGGGGCAGCGCTTGTTGCAACAAGACCCCCAGGAGGTGGGAGGGAAGAGGGTCAAAGGCACAGGAAAGGGGGCTGGTCTTGGGAAGGGCTGGAACATCTTCCCTGGGCCAGGGGAGGAAAAGGATGGGAGAAGAGAGAAGACAGAGGAAGCTTGAGGTGGACCTGAGGGAAGATGAAGGGTTTGATTTCACTGACGCAGGTGATGAAGTCATCTGCAGGGTGAGTGGAGAGAGAAGGGGTTGGGTACCGAGGGCGAATGGAAAGGTTCCAAACAATTGCTTAAAAGAAATGGACTAGTCACTAGAGATGACTAAATTAATTTGTAAAAGGCACCAAAGACCCAACCGAAGCTGGCCACCATGAAGCTGTGTGATGATGTCATTTCAAAATCTGCTCAGCACCTCGGGAACTAGGGGTGAGGAACCACAGCACACGCAGGTTCCTGCGGCATGGGAGCGGCAGGGCAGGGGAGGGAGGGTGCTGATGAGCACGCAGTTGCAGCGATTGAGCAGGATTCGCAGGCTGAGTGGAGAGCAGAAGCCGACTGTGGAACTAGGCATGGGCTGACGGATTGCTGGTGTCGTAGTCAGAGAGCTGGTTTAGCAGGAGTTAAAGCTGGCAAGATGGGCCAGGCTCAGTGGCTCTTGCCTGTAATCCCAGCACTCTGGGAGGCCAAGGTGGGAGGGTCCCTTGAGCTCAGGAGTTCAAGACCAGCCTGAGCAAGAGTGAGACCCCGTGTCTACTAAAAATAGAAAAAATTAGCCAGGTGTGGTGTTGCATGCCTATAATCCCAGCTACTAGGGAGGCTGAGGCAGGAGGATCACTTGAGCCCAGGAGTTTGAGGTTGCTGTGAGCTAGGCTGATGCCATGACTCTCTAGCCTGGGCGACAGAGTGAGACTCTGTCTCAAAAAAAGAAAGAAAGAAAGAAAAAGCATTCTACCTAACAACAGCAGAATACAAATTATTTAAGAAAAAAAAAAAAGCTAGTGAGATGGGAATACAGAAATCTGCTGCCGGAGGAGGGACGTTTGGAGTCCTGCATCACAGATAGTCAGTTCTGGGTGCGATCAGGCTCTGGGAGTGGCTCTGACTCTGAGTTGCTGTCCTGGAATGGAGGGAAAGGTCATCAGAGATAAAGTGGTCAAGGAGCTGGGATGAGGGTGGTGAGCAGACTATCCACGTGTGTGGTGGCATGGTCCAAATGGGGCTGGGAGGAGAGAGATGCAGAAAATGGGATAAGAATCATGAGAGGAGAACTGGGTGGAAAATAAAGAGGGCTGCGATTTCTGAGAAAGGAGAGAGGCTGTTTTACTCTCTGTATATTTTGAAAAGCATCTGAAGCTTGTTCTCGGGGCAGCCGGCAGTGATTTTGTACTCGGGAAATGAATGTGCACAGGTGTGTACTTTGACTTGAGCGTGAGTCTCATTTCATCGGGGTGTTGGGAGATGCAGGGGAGCTCATGCGGAGAGGCGGCTACATCTTCTTCGTGGCTAGTCATGTGGTTGCTGGCCTCGTGCCTCAGAATGCCCTTCTGAGCAACGGCGAGGTGGCTTTGATGCGCCCCACCTACCGTTTACCTGTCTACTGGGAAAATCAAAATTGCCAAAGAGATTCTCAAAGGCAATTTCAAAACCATTGTAAAATCAGACTAGTTCACATATCTGTCTCTTTCTCCTACACCAGGTGTGCGTATGCCAGGCAGTTTTCCTTTCATGGACTCGAATGGTTAATATAGTCAGTGTAGAATTGTACTTCTTGCCCAACTTGCTGATACTTTTAGAATCTAAAAAAATTTTTTTTTCCTACTACAACTTACTGAGCACATGTACACTGTGCTTAGTACTTTATATTCTTATTTCACCCTCAGTAAAACAAGTTGTGAAGTAGCTCTTATTCAAAATATATTTATTTATATGAAATATAATTAATGCATAACAGGAAATTTTTAACCAGTGTAAGAATGTCAGTGAAGCTGTGGGAAATTAGTTCCTCTTAAGTGCCCCATTCCTTTAATTCAAGGATGGTCCTTCGCTGACACCTAGTGGAAAATCCAGGAATAGTACTTTTTTTTTTTTTTTTTTTGAGACAGTCTCACTCTGTTGCCCTGGCTAGAGTGAGTGCAGTGGCGTTAGCCTAGCTCACAGCAACCTCAAACTCCTGGGCTCAAGTGATCCTAGTGCCTCAGTGCCTCAGCCTCCTGAGTAGTTGGGACTACAGGCATGTGCCACCATGCCCAGCTAATTTTTTTTCTATGTATTTTTAGTTGTTTGGCTAATTTCTTTCTATTTTGTTAGTAGAGACGGGGTCTCGCTCTTGCTCAGGCTGGTCTCGAACTCCTGAGCTCAAACGATCCGCCCGCCTCGGCCTCCCAGAGTGCTAGGATTACAGGCGTGAGCCACCGCGCCGGGCCAGGAATAGCACTTTTTGAAATTAACATCAAGACAGGAAAAAAAAGCCCAAGCCCTGGCTCACGCCTATAATCCTAGCACTCTGGGAGGCTTAGGTGGGAGGATTGTTTGAGCAAGAGCGAACCCCGTCTCTACTAAAAATAGAAAGAAATTAATTGGACAGCTAAAAATATATAGAAAAAATTAGCCGGGCATGGTGGCACGTGCCTGTAGTCCCAGCTACTCGGGAGGCTGAGGCAGAAGGATCGCTTGAGCCCAGGAGTTTGAGGTTGCTGTGAGCTAGGCTGATGCCACGGCACTCTAGCCCGGGCAACACAGTGACACTCTGTCTCAAAAAATAAATAAGTAAAATAATTTAAAAAAAGACTTAGGAAAAAAAAATACTGAGTTCTTGAAGTTAGGTTTATAAATACCAGCTAATGTCTTAGAAATAGCCATGTTGGCCATTCTTACATATAGTATATAAACTGAACTCTTGTCCAGATTAATTGAGAATAAAGGTAAAGGTAGGTACTTTTTCATTTCATACATTAATATGGCTCTTTCAGTACACTTCTAGGAAATTGAGCTAGCATTTGTGTTTGAAGTTAATTCTAGCTAGTAATCTCAAACTCCAAATGTGCAATAGAAATGCCTGTGCTACAAAATTCTAAGCATTTGTTTTCTCAAAATTGAGGTAACTGAGTTGAGACTTCCTCCCCCTTCTTTTTTTTTTTTTTAAACTAAATATGGTTGCCACTTAGCCTAAATATTTTTACTGTGATATCACAGATCATAGCAAAATGAGTAAAATTATTTTTAAAGTTACTGTAAGCATCATATTTGTAGGGTAAGTTATTCTGCCCTTGAAAAATGAAGATGACATTAAAGAGACAAGAAAAGCTACCTAAACTAATTTTTTATCTTCTTTGAATCCTTAGGCAAAACGATTCATGTTAGGGCAATTCACTTATTCTCCATATTCCCCTAAACATCAATAACATACAGTAATAATAACAACACAAAGAAGCCCCAAATCATTAAACTTCAGAAGCGGGGTGGTGGTGTGTTAGAGTGGGGAGAAGTGAGTGAGTGTAGAGAAAGAAAAGTCATGGTTTATCAGGCACAAGCCCCCAGGAGGGTGGGTGGGAGTTCCTGGTTGAGCCCATTACTGCGTCCTAACAACCACCCTGAAAGGGAGGCCCTGTTATCCCGTCCTACGGTGGGAGATCCGCCTACCCAGTTTAGCCCCACCCCCGCCAGCCCCTCTGGGAGATTTTGGGGTACACAGAAGAGATGGGAGGTGTTGGGGGGCCGAGGGAACAGGGAGAGAGACGTGATGACAATCACATAGCATTCAGAAGGAGGAAAGCAAGGAGAGGAGACTTCCAGCAGCCATTTTACAATCACCTCGAAATAATTAGAAGGTCCCCAGTGTCACAGGGAGGGCTGGTGATACAGATACCAGGCTCTAACCTTGAGCTTTTGGTTCAGAACATCAGGGTTGGGTGGCAGGACGCTGCATTTTTTTTTTTTTTTTTTTTTTTTTCAATGAGCTGCCCTGTGGACACTGATGATCAGCTGAGTTTAGGAACCAACCTCCCCCACCCTGCCCCTTTGCGGGGTGGTCACAGTCTCAGCTCTGGCGCGTTGGTTGTGTAGCATCTCCTGCCCGCATGAGGGCGCTCATCTGTTTGAATCCCCTGAACTGTGAGTTAATGCCTAAAAGAAACAGCGAGTTGTTAAAAGCTTTTTAAAATCCGTTTGTTCAGGTGAGATAAGATCTGTGTTAGGATTGGGTGTTTAAAGAAAAAATAATAACAATAATCGTAATTATAGCTGCGCTTTCTCTCTCACAGGCCAAGCAAGCAATCCTTGAAATGGATGCCATCCGTAAGTTTTGTTTCCTTAGCATAATTCGAAATGTCGTTATCTCCTTGTATCTATCACGTTTTCTATCTTAAAGTTTATAAAAATGTCAATTGTAAGAAAATAGCATCTCTACTCACTGTTTTAACAAAAAGGGCAGACAGTATAGTCAGTCCCTTCTTAGTACAGTGACTTGTTTCTGAATTGATTCTCCCTGGGTTACCTGTGACTCAGCTGATGGCTGGCCACTCACTGTCCAGGTTTCTGCCTCTACTAACAATGTCAATTATGTCTCCGGGGTCAACTCTCCTCGCAACCACCCAAAAACAGGGCCACGCAGTGTATTTTCTACTTCATCCCATCCTCTAAAAAGTCCATGTTAATTATCTGCAAGAATTTGGTAACTTGATAGTTATTGGTTTTTCTTATGCAGTAGAAAATTCTGAAACAACACAACTATTCCACATACGTGAGAATGTTTCTAGGCTTATAAAAGCAGGTAGAGAATAAATGTATCAGGTCCTTAGACCTTGCCCAATAGCACTTATCACATCTTTGTTATTTCCCAGATTACATAGAATAAAAAGAGAAAACAATGACTTTCAACACTCACAACCAGGACTGGCGGAAATTTGTACTTAAAACACTTCCACTTTTATGTAAACCTTTCAAAACACCTTACTTACAATTTTTTTTTTTTTTTTTTTTTTTTTTTTGGTGAGTTAGAGTCTCTCTCTGTCATCCAGGCTGGAGCATAGTGGTGCAATCCTAGCTCACTGCAGCCTCAAACTCCTGGGCTCAAGAGATCCTCCTGCCTCAGCCTCCCAAGTACCTAGGACTATAGGCACATACCACCACTCCTGGCTAACTTTCAATTTTTTTGTAAAGACCGAGGTCTCTCCATATTGCCCAGGCTGGTCTTGAAGTCCTAGGCTCAAGCGATCCTCCCCCTCCCTAGCCTCCCAAAGTGCCGGGATTACAGGCATGAGCCACTGCACCCAGCCTGAAACACCTTACTTCTGAGAAATCTTCCCTCAAGTGCAGCCATCGGCTCCCTCACTGTCCAGCCGCTCTTTGTTAACTCTCCAGGGAAAAAAGAAGCGTCAACAGTGTAGGAGCAGGAGCGTCACTTGTCCCCACTGTCGTAGCTGTGGGTCCCCACTTTGTACCCCGCAGACCTGAGAAGTGACGCATGGTGCTCCCTACCACAGTGCTAGGCTTTGCTTTCCAAATCCCCACACTTTATTCAGTGGAAATTGCCTTAAGATTTTTTTTTTCTAAGAGCACCCTGAAGAGCAGGCGAGATCATGGCTGCGTGTGTGCAAATTGGCAAAGACCGAACAGGGGGTGTGGAGAAGTCAGCGGTCAGCTATTACTACGGCCAGCTCCATGCAACAGCATGATTTTATTTCATTTATTCCCAGGCCCTGGGCTAGAGCTTAGAAACCAGTAAGATTCTAGAGTGCCCAGAACTATCTTAAGCCACTAATTGGTGCCATAGGCCTAGGCACCAGAGCATCCCAGCCTGAGGCGAAGACCTTATTTGCCCAGTGCTGAGTCTGAACTTGGCTGAATGAGAGCAGGGCAGGCCAGTCCATCGGACCAAATGGCCTCACTATGTAACTTTCCGCTGGCATTGGAGATGAGCACACGGTCTTTACAATCCTCAGAACTCTGAGATTAAGACACCCTTGAAGAGCCTTACCCCTAATTAGAGGAGCACTGGTTTATAGCTGTGTCCTAAAATTGTTTGCCTTTAGGCTTCAGAATAAAGATGATCATTGAACATGCTGCAGTACCTTGTAATTAGACCAGAACAGGCCGGGCACGGTGGCTCACGCCTGTAATCCTAGCACTCTGGGAGGCTGAGGCGGGAGGATTGTTTGAGCTCAGGAGTTTGAGACCAGCCTGAGCAA